ATACAAGCATATAAATGTCACATAATCATCACAAACTTTAGAATATAAACATTTATCAACGCTATTATGTTTAAACTTGAATGATATTATTGCTAAGCCAAACTTCTCATGCCATTTCTTTGGTGCTTGTTTCAGACCATATAAAGATTTCACCAACTTGCACACTTTATGTTCATTTTCAGGTAGGGCAAACCCTTCGGGTTGTTCCATAGAGACCTTCTCATCGAGATCTCCATTTAAAAATGCCGTCTTGACATTCATTTGATGAACATGCAAGTCATATATTGAAGCCAAAGCGAATAATATCCTAATCGATGTTATTCTAGCCACCGGTGCATAAGTATCAAAATAGTCTATTCCTTCTTTTTGTCGATATCCTTTGACTATTAAGCTAGCCTTGAAGGTATTTAAGGATCCATCAATATTGTATTTTCTCCTAAATACCCATTTGAATCAAATAGGCTTGGATCCCGGTGGTAAATCAACAAGTTCCCAAGTATTATTGGACATTATCGAATCCATTTCGTTCTTAATTGTATCTTTCCAAAAGATGCTATCACGAGAAGCCATAGCTTCTTTATAAGTCTTAGGGTCGGTTTCTACTTGCAGAACAAAAGGAATTGTTCTCACAACATTCAACTCATTTCCCTCTACTAAATAAAAGGAGATAAGTTGAGAATCGATTTCATTCGATCCCAAAGACTTTTCAACTCGAATTCTCTTGCTTCTTCTTGGTTCACTAGATTCATCAACATCCTTAGAAGATATTTCATCATGTGTTCCACTTGAGTTAGGGATATTTTCAAGATTTTCCCTCAATTCATTATCCGAAGATAACGAATCATCAAAGAACTCCACATCGTTGGATTCGATAATCACATTGGACTCCAAATTTAGTAATCTATAAGATTTGCTATTGTTTGCATATCCAACAGAGGCACATTTTTGTCTCTTGAACCCAATTTGGTCCTATTAGGATTCGTGTTCTTGCAATAGGCAAGACACCCCCACACTTTGAAGTATCCAATGTTCAGTTTTC